TAATTTTGTTGATTTTGGGGGAGAGAGAGAGAGAGAGAGAGAGAGAGAGAGAGAGAGAGAGAGAGAGAGAGAGAGAGAGAGAGAGAGAGAGAGAGAAATGTTGATTTTGGGGGAAAAAAATACGACTTGAGCCCTAATTTGAAGTCACGTGCGTGGCACATGAGGGTTGACTGTTAAGTGAGACGGTCAACCAAACGGCAGGACCAAATGTGTTAAATTGTGATAAAACGAGAGTGTATTTTGTTGACTGCGGTAAATGGGGGACCAAAAATGAAAAACGGGCAAACTTGAGGGACCAAAAATGTAATTATCCCCACACACACACACACACACACATATATATATATATATATATACACACATATATATATAACATTTATAACATTGCAAATGAATCATCGATTATTCAAAAATTTATCGAACATTTACGGTTATGTTTGAGTTTGATTTTATTTTATTAACTATTGTCGAGTTCAGACAAGTTTTAATCATCGCTACATACAAAAATAACATTTTAAAACAAGCATTAGGATTTTTCATATTAGTTTGAGCGGTAATAGTTCTTATGTAAGAGATCTTTTTTATTATTAACCAAAAATTTCATGCACCTGTAACAATTAAAATTCATTTGCCTACTTTAATTTTCCATGTACTCCCCCTTTTTTTTTCTTTTTTTTTTTGGTGAAAAAAATGTTCTCGCAACACACATATAATTAGGACTGAACCCATAATCTATCGCTACATAAATGGAAATGTTCGATAAAATAATTATAAAAAAAAAAAGAAAAAAAGAGAGATATAGAGAGAGAGAGAGAGATCACAGATAATTGAGTTCAGAAGGAAATTAAGATCCAAGAATGACCATGACGTGTTAAAAGTTTTGTATAAATTTTTTCCTACCATTTCTTCTTTAAACGTAAGATATATATGAACAAGTGTATATAATGTTGGATTTCTTCTCATTTATTGTTAGCACATGAAAAATGAATAATAATTATTAATTCTCTAGTTATGTTGGATTGCATCGCACGGGTAGATTACTAGCATATATATAGGGGTGGATATCGGACGGATCGGATCGGAAACAGCCATTTCGGAAAATTTCCATTTTTTTTCGGAACTGCTTTATGGATTCTGATTGCGATTCCAATTTTTTCGGAAATTTCGGAATTTCTGAATTGTTCGGAATATTTATTTTTCGGAAATGTTTGGGAAATGTTCGAAAATTTTCGGAATTTACTTGATTTTTTTCGGAAATTACCCGTAAGTAATTCTTAAAATATTATTTCTGCTCTCAAATCACAAAAGATAATGAATTAGAATATTACCTATTGTTCGATCGAGAAATAAAATATTAGATAAATGAGGGTTATTGTTCGATCGAGAAATAAAATATTAGATAAATGAGGGTTATTGTTCGATCGAGAAATAAAATATGAGATAAATGAGGGTGAAGTAAGAACAAAAGTAAGGTGTTCATAAATATTATTTTTTATGAACAAGGGTTGTTCTGTTCCAGAATGTTGTTTGTCGGCGATTTGACGAAGAAGAAACCACCATAGCTGCTACGCAAGGATGATGGGAAAAGCCATGGCTTTTTCTCTGAGAGGAAATTAATTATTGGTTCTTCACATGTGAAGCGGCGCTTGGCAAGAGAGAACGAGAACAAGGAAATAGTGTTTAGACTTTAGAGATAATGGGATGGAGAAGTATGTAGTGGGCCTGCTATTGTTTTGTTATAGGTCTTTAAGTTTAGTAATAGAAAATAAAATAGTATGTAGAATATATAATAACTAATATATAGTAATAATTTTCGGAAATTTTCGGAATTATTCGGAAACATTTTTGAAAATATTTTCGGATCGGAATTTAGAAATTCCAAATATTTTATATACAATTCCGATTCCGATCTGATTTTTTTCGGAAAAATCGGAAATCGGACTAAAAATATTTTGTTTTCAAAATAAAAATTCGGATCGTAATCGGCGGAAATCAGAAATTTTGTTCTGATTTCCACCCCTACTTGCACGCGCGCGCGCACACACACACACACACACACACACACACACACACATATATATATATATATATATATATATATATATATATATATATATATATATATATATATATATATACTCTACAAATCTTATATGTACTTCATGCATGGATTCTGTTGCGGCGTGATTAAATAGCAAGAACGACATTGTTCCCTTTGTTTATAATTCCATATATTCAAACAATCAGCCGAAAATGTATCATGACTCTTAAACAGTTAGCTGAAAATCGACATACATATTTGGTTGTACAATTTTAAACACATTGTTTTGGCTGAAATCATAATTAATTAGATATGTTGATATATTCTAAAAATATTGAATTTTCAGTACCTTTCCTATAATTGAGGGATCAAGCTAGGATGTGAGTTTCGTCCAAAATTCTTAGATGCATTATATGTTTTGGGGCGTCTGAACCAGAGTCAATGATGTTGCTATGTGTATATTTTATTACCATAATTGTTTGCAAATTTCAGGCATATTTTCTTGTTATTTCATATACGAGAATCCAATATTTATAAAAATTAACCAAATATTTCATATACTTGCGTGAATATGTTAATTCGAGTCATATTTACCAATACATTTATGGTATTTTTTTTTAATTCACTTCCCCTCCTAAAAACAAGCAATTATAGTAATTTTTTTTCAATTTGACAACATTTTCACTCATCAAAAGAAAATGCAATATGTTATGTTTCCCATATTTGCTCTTACTTTCACTATTAATGACAAATTTTCACCGTCCTAATGTGTCCTTGTGGACTCATTTCCAAACCCTAAACTTATCTTTATATATTAAATTCACATTTGCCTTACACTTCACATTCAATAGCAAAAAACTAAGAGGTATATAGTGAATTGGTGTGTGTCATTTGAGTGTGAAGAAAAAAATCACAAATAAAATTTAGAATTAAATCTTGAAAATGGAGGGTGGGGGAAACTCAAATCAACAACATAAAAATACCACGAGAGTATCTGCATCTGCATACGGTAAAAGTTGCACAAAAAAAATTTGCTATCATTTTTATTTATGAATTGGATAAAATCTATATGATCAGTGTTAATTTGATTTTTTATTATTATTTTATATAAGTACGATCTTAAGTTTACAGATCTATTAGATACCTCTCATATAGAGAATGTTGTTTGAATTAAATATAAATCATTTGTTTGCCGGCTTTCGTATATGATTCTATTTTGATTACTTTTATATTTGCCAAGTGATATTTTTAGTTAACTTATGGTTTGACGGCGCACGACATACGTTAGTTTTCTTTATTTTGATTTTGCGCTTATATACTTCAATTATTATTTTTCCTTTTATTTTTACTTTTTACACTATATATCTCAAAGTAAAACGTAGTTCACCATTTAGGCAGTCACATTTACCAACAAATCCACAGAACAAAATATTGTCTCCATGTCTTTTTTTCAAATCTTAAATCAAAATGATGTTCCTCATGTAGACAAAACGAATTGGGATAAAAAAATCGAGAAAAATAGTCTTAAATATTTTTTTTTAAAAGCAAAATCGGATACTATGTTTCATCTTATGGATTTTATTCATTCAGGTAACATATATACATATCCATGAGGTGTAATGATAACATAAAATGTGAGATGATACATACTCGAACTGTAATAGGAGAATCAGAGTGAAGTGAGACAATTAATTGTATGCATAAGTGCAAAAAATGGGAGTAAATACGCACAATTGTCAATATTCTTTTGTTGTTAAAACTAATTAAGAGTAATAAATTACGGGTTATATTTATTTTTTACATAGTTCCCATATCATTACTTTGCCATTTTACAAGAATCACAAAATTAAAAAATGTTCAGAAAATGTAACAAAAAATTTACTCAATTTTAAATATTAACATTTTTTTTTGACCTTACCAATTGAGGCCAATCAAATGTCTCTGTGTATATTTTATATATATATATATATATATATATATATATATATATATATATATATATATATATATATATATATATATATATATATATATATATATATATATATATATTAGGTTGCATTTACTTCACATGCTTCTAAATATATATATATACAATTCATTCATATCAGGGACAATTAACCAGGAGGCAGCTGACAGAGCCGGTGCAGCCGCAAACCTCCCCACAACAAATGCCGGTGATCAGAATCTGGCGTCACCACAAAGCTGGAGGCGCGATGCATATCAGTATATGCCGATAGTCAACATCGTCCGAATTTTACGTAGGGCACTCCCCCATGCAAAAATCGCTGATGATGCAAATGAGATTATTCAAGAGTGCATCTCAGAGTTCATTGCCATTGTAACTAGTGAGGCGAACGAGAAGGCTCGCAGCCAGTATAGAACAATCATCACTCTAGAAGATGTAATCGCCGCCATAGGCTCACTGGGATTGGATGACTACGTGGAGCCACTGACAGTTTTCCTCAACAAATATCGGGCCGCGGATCCCGAGCGCGGCACCTCGATGCAGGTTCAACTGGCGATGGCCATGTGCAGCACCGGCCAGCAACCATCGACTACTCCAGTGGCTCAACTAGTTCCACCACCACCTCCAACGCCGTCAGTGATAACGGGTGATGGGCCGATGATAGTTGATGACAACGAAGAAGTGGACCCTGATGAGTATATTGGGTTCACCGAAGTTATTAGGAAGTACTTTTGAACAATCATGGTGGTGGTGAGGGAGAAGGCTTCCCTAACGGTGGTGGCGATTGAACCGTTTATGCTTGTTTGGAGTTTTTTTTTTTTTTTTTTTTTTTCAAATACTAATGTTCTTGTTTGCAACGGATGTTATAATGAATTTGGATTATTTCAAATTTACAATTTATTTTGATGAAATCTACTATTTTGCAAATACTCATAATTCTATTATTTGACTACAACAATTAGATTGACTTTTATATTATTATATATTAAATATATTTTGTATATACTGTATGTATATTAATTTATAGAATACTAAGGTTGTACTAGCTTTGCACCTAAAATAATTGTGCAAAATTAATTATTAAGCGATTTTTACGCACCAGGCCAAATCAATTCTCTTATGGTCCTAGAGGTAAGGCGCTCTCCGACCCTAGCCACACAATCCTTAGTTGTATTTCAATACTTATTAGTAATATTTGTAGTGGCAAAACATGAATAACATAAACATATTGAATTCTAATTCACTTGGAGTTTTAAAGAATATAGTTTATCCTAGAATTCAAGCTAATTAGAAGACATCATTTATCCTAGAAGAATATAGGTTATAGGCACTACCTACACTTTTTTGCAAAAGTTTCGTCAAAAATCTTTGAAGAAAAAAAATTAAATAAAAAATAAAAAATATAAACATATATTAAAAAAAAAAGGAAATAAAAAATGAAAATTAATAAAATAAAATAACAAACGTAATCGGTATTGTGTAGTAGAAGATAGTGGAAGGACATTTCTTGGATTATAAAGTGTCATGAAGGATCATGGGTTTATCTCATATAGTGAAAATATTAATGAACCTCTCCCTATTATTGTAATGTTTAGGGGGTTTTCTCTAGCCTTTGGAGAAATATTGACTAAAGTATTATTAAAGTTAAGGCAAATCAAAAGTTTACGTGGTTAGGCCTAAAATTTTTGTGAATACAGTCATAGAAGTATTATTGAACAAGCAAATATATGTAACTTTTGTTTAAATATAATAAAATAAAATATAGTATGTTTCAACTTGGCGAAACTCTTTGAAATTAGAGATAAACAATGTAGATTGTTAAAAAAATGCAATGATTGCTGAAAAAAGTTTAAAATCTTGAAATAGATAAAAATTTGATAGAAGAACTCAATATCTAACTAACTATAATTAATTTAAGACATTTCATTTACATCAAATGCAAGAATAAGTATACAAATTTCAGACAGCTATGTAAAATAATATAGTTACATAAGGTTATTGAAATTGTTGAATGATTTATATATTTTGAATATCATTTAATACTATAACTACTATGTATAAAGAGTACAAAATATTATTTGGGCCCCCCTAACTTTTTTTTTAAAATACAGGGGCTCGAAGCGATCTCATTTCTCGCTTATAGTACTCAAAACCGACTTTGCTTTCATCTCTTGTTATTTGTGTTGGATATTCTGCCGAAGCACGTGAACAAGATTAACAAAGAAATATTTATGAAGTATGTATCTCTTTCTACATATTTTAAAACTTGTTGAATTCCAAGTACAAACTCCACACATAAAATGCACCAAAAATTCTATATAGGCGTGTTTCTACGTTTTAGAATTCAAACTCCATGACGCCTGCCTGCAACATTTCGGGTTCATTTGCGTAAATACTTAAATTTTTTAGGACGTTTTTGATAATATTGGAAAAACAAAAATTTGTTTCCTCAAAAATAAAAAATTCAAAACTTATTTAAAATAAAGACTAAAAAATGTCTACTTTTAGTTTTCTTCTTCTTCTTTTTTTTTTTTTAAATTATGTGTATGTTTATCTTCTAGTGGCTTTTATAGATTTTAATTCTATAGTAAAATAAATTTATCCCCATTCATAATATGTTTGATATAATATCAATTGTCACTTGTAGGCAAATTGCAACCATTTCTGAAGTAAGATTAAATTACAGAAAAACTCATCATGTTTGCATAAAAATTCATGTTAATGTTTATAATGCTTTTTAACATTTATGAATACATCACTATATTTAATATATTTGCACATTTCCCCAACTTTTTTCCATTTCGGCGTGTCAGTCTTCTCTTGTCTGTGCTACATAGCATCGCATCTATGTACGAATTTTTTCCTTCGGTTCGATACCAACCAGATGAACACCCCTAGGTAAATTTGACATCGTAGGGCGGATGTGTAAGACAATACATAGTTGAGGGGTGGTTGTAATTATGCATACAATAGGATTTTGTTAGTAATTATACCTTATCTCAAGGGGTGGCTGTAGTTTTGCCTTTTATATAAGGGACAAGTACAAATAAATCCCCAACTCAAAAACAAACATACGGGTCAGTCCCCAGTAACGTTTTACTAGCGGGTCAGTCCCTAAATCACACATAAACATGCAGTTCAGTCCCTGACCCCACTTTTTTTCACTTTATACACTCTCTCTCCTCTCTCCTCTCTCCTCTTTCTTCTATTTCTTTTACACTCTTTCTCTCTCCTCTCTCCTCTCTCCTTTTTCTTCCATTTTTTCTCTTCTGTTTCTCTCTCGTCTTCATTTCCTCATATTCTCTGTTACTACTTTTTGTTTTCCGACCGCGAAAAAAAACTGAAATTTCCAACAATGGCAGCAAATGGTGAATCAAACCCCATCGCCGCTGGTATTATTGGAAGTTGTCGGTACAGTGATTATCTGCACATCATTTCCATTAAGAATGATTCGACTTTAAAGGAGATCTATGAATCTATCTTAATGAAGTGGAACGATATACATCCCGACAAATTGGTGCTCCAATACTTGGCTCCCCGTGAAAGAATGTTTGTCACACTGACTTCTGACGAAGACGTGGTGAATATGGTTACATTGCATTTGGTAATGCACATGAGTGTGGTCGACATTATGGTGAGCCGCACTGATGCACTTGATGGGCGTAGAAGGAGGACCCCCAGCAACGGGTATGCAGCCATTCTGTTTTGTATGCATTTAAAATTTGTTTATGTCATCATAGCATAGAATATAATACTACATAGTATCGTGTTACTATAGTGATAGTGTAGAATAACTAAGCTCGTAGTATCATATAAGGCTACTAATAATATGGAATGATTGTATATCAAGTATCTTATAAATTGAGTTCTCGTATGCAAGCATTCCACTCAAAGTACTTATTTCAATTGTTACAATTTATTTGTAGTCCACTGTAATAATCCAATTTGTTTCCTTGTTTTTGCATTTTCCAGTGAGTCTGTTAGTTCCAACAGTCCGTTGCAAATTGAGTACAATCCGGTTGGAGATTCAATTGATGCATGGAGACATTGCATACGCGGGGAGAATCAAATTTTCAAAGATGCTAATGATTTTAGGTTTATGCTAAAAAATTACTGCATTGCTAACAATCGAACCTTTAAGTACAAGAAAAATGATCAACAAAAGATCATAGCCGTATGCATTGTTGAAAATTGCAAATGGAGGGTTTATGCATCAGTTCATAAATCAGACAAGTTATTCGGCATTCGCAAATGTATTCTTGAGCACAGTTGTGGTGATGCTACTCTTCATACAAGGGGTCATCCCAAAGCCGATGCTACGTGGATTTCGCAACTTATGAAACAAAAATTGAGAGATGAGCCAGATTACAAACCAATTGCTATTTTGAATGAGGTCCAAAGAAAGTACGGTGTGGAGCTTAAGTACTATACGGCGTGGAGAGGTAAGGAAAAAGCAATGTATGACATTCATGGGGATGAGTCGAGTTGTTATGATAAACTGAGACGTTATTGTCGTGCACTAAAACAGAATAACCCTGGTAGTTGTGCCGATTATGAGATTGACCCTCAAACTCAAAAGTTTCTTCGGATCTTTATTAGTTTTGGAAATTCTATTTTGGGTTTCCACCGTGGGTGTAGGCAAATGATATGTTTGGATGAGACTCATATTAAAAATAAGTACAAATGTTGCTTACTTTCTGCTGTGTCCAAAGATCCAAATGATGAGTTATACACATTGGCCTATGCAATTGTTGATGCCGAGAATGATAGAAATTGGGAGTGGTTTTGTAATAAGCTGAAAGAGATTCTTGTTTATCACAATGGGGGTTTATTGAAAAATTACACAATTTTCTCTGATCGTCATTCGGGGCTTATTAAAGCCATTCCACTGGTATTTCCTGGTAGCAACCATGCTTATTGTTTGCGACATTTGGAGGATAACTTTAGAACAAAGGTTCTAAGATCGTATCCATTGCACAACAAAGCATATTGGGTGAGTGTTCTACATAAGGCTGCAATTGCTCCTACTCGGCAAGAGTTTGAGGAACATATATCTCATATAGTTCAATCAATGCCTCGTGCGGAATCATTTATCCGAGATTCGGATCCCAATCGTTGGGCCAATGCATACTTTTCTGGGGATAGATGGGGAATAATGAACAGTAACCAAGTTGAATGCTGGAATGGTTGGGTTAAAGATGAACGATCTTTGTCAGTTCCATCCATGATTGATATGATACGAATCAAAATAATGAAGATGATAGGTAATCGACGGGAAGATTCTTTAGTCATGGCTGGTACAGTGTGTCCAAGAGTTGAAAAGAGATTATTAATCAACTATACGGCCTCTCGCTTATTAAAATATACCAGTTCCAGTGGTACGCGTTATGAGGTGTATGAAGAGGATAAGTCGTATGGTGTTGATTTAGAGACTAGGACCTGTACTTGCAAATCTTGGCAGTTGGATAAACTTCTGTGCAAACATGCATGTGCATGTATTGAGTCGAAAGGATATTCGGTATTTGAATTTGTTGATCCTTGCTTCCGGGTTGATTTGTACAAAGAAGTATACAAGTACACAATTAATCCAATTCCTTCATTTGATGAGGAATTTGATTTGTACAATGCACAAACAAATCATGGCCCGGAAGATGTATTTATTAATCCACCTGCATCGAAAGCTCAACCAGGACGTAGAAGGACGAAAAGAATTCCATCGCAAGTCGAAACCCGTGTTACGAAGTGTGCACGGTGTGGTAAACCTGGACATAATCGCCGTACGTGCAAACAACCAGTCCCGTAGCACTCTGTTTCTACTTTCTTTTTATGTTGTTTGTACTTTGTTGACATGTACTTCGTACTATTTATCCATTTGTATGTACCATGATATGGCTGTTTTAGTTACAATAGAGCGCGCTGTTTTAGTTACAATAGTATTGTTGTTACGTTGATATGGTATAACGTACAACATAATATAGTTCACAGAAGAATAATAAATGAATCGATTTGAATTTTATGACCGTTACAATAATATAGCCGTTATTTTTGTCGTCAGAACTTATAAAAAACACCTAATTATGTTCATTTGCTTCTCATTCATGGCTTCTTCCAGTAGCAACTCTCAAAAGAGTAGCTTAAAATATAAAAAAAGATAACTGCAAGCGTCGTGATTGTGGGAAAAAAACAATAATCATGGTTTCGGAGACAAGTTTGAATCCGGGGAGGCTATTTTATTGTTGCCCAGACTATGGCTATTCTCATTGGTGTGAGCCATTTGAAATTGGGCAAACTTTCTCCCACAATTATTCTCGATATGAAGAAAGTGAAGCTACGAGTGGATCGACGAACCAAGTTCATCGCAAAAGTAAAGTGAAGAATTCCAGAGATGAAGCTGGAGTAATTCAAAGTTTGATAGTGTTAAACCTAGTAATATTTGCAGTTTACATGATTTGTCAAACCTATGTAATGTTTCTTAACTAATCACCGTAACAATACAAGTTAAAAGTTAGTGTCGTGTATTGTAGCTTGTTAATCGTATTGTAATGTCAATGTGTAAGTACTTTGGGTACTTACAAATAAATTAACTCTATCGATGAATCAATTGTTGTTGTTCATAAGAAATGTACTCATACAATATAGTGATAGTTATTGTTCTTCTACTGTTCTATATATCACGTTCACAACTCACGCATAGATCGTACAATATCTACGTATTATAGTTCCCACGAGATAGTCCTTATGTACTGTACTAATGGTACCCTTGTTATAGTACCATTTGGGGTCAACACGACCATAGAAAACCATCTCATCCCTCATTTATTCATTTTGTGACTCATTTAAAAGAATTGAGACAACTTGGGAGTTGATAGGTATTGAATATGGTCACTTGTGATGAAAACAATCACTTATACATAGAAGCCTTGTACATTAGTAGTGAATCTTGTAAGGAATTCGATACATTTGTTCCATTTTGGACGCCAAAGTCAAAACTAACCTGAAAAAACCTTACAACATTAATTTAAAACATATTATATGTCTTTCCCATACTTATGGATCACAAATGTATAAAAAAAATCGAGCAATTCAAGCCATCAATATTATGGTATTGATTGGTCTAACGACTAGTATATTCGGTGGCGTGTATATGGATGGACGGAACCGTTGGTTTGTATCCGTGTCACAACGATATAGTACTTATGTACTTTACTAATAGTACCCTTGTTATAGTATCATTTGGGGTCAATACAACCATAGAAAACCATCTCATCCCTCATTTATTCATTTTGTGACTCATTTACAAGAATTGAAACAACTTGGGAGTTGATAGTTGTTGAATATGGTCACTTGTGATGAAAACAATCACTTATACATAGAAGTATTGTACATTAGTAGTGTATCTTGTAAGGAATTCGATACATTCTTTCCATTTTGAACCCCAAAGTTAAAACTAACGTGAAAAAATCTTACAACCTTAATTTAAAACATATAATATGTCTTTCCCAAACTTATGGATCACAAATGTGCAAAACAAATTTGAGCAATTCAAGTCATCAACATTATGGTATTCCTCATTTTAGGTAATGGTATAGATGGGGTAGGTTATACGCATCGACAAGAAACTAACAGAGTATTAAAAAATAATTTGCAAAACACTTACATTATTCAAAATAGGTGTCACAACACCACAAAAAGGGGACAAGTTTAATACCATCATCGCACGAAAACACTAATCTAAAAGTACTTGTTCATGCAAAAACAGTCAAAAGCATATTGTTCGTGACAATCACAACCCAAAAACACCCATAAAACACATTGTTCAAAAATAATCAAAAGTAATTTTAAAAATTGTTCAAAATATGTTCAAAGCATCAGCATCTACTGGCCCTCTATCCACGCCCTGGTGCTTTAAGAAGACAAGTGCTAGTTTTGGACGGAGTTTTTTGATCAAGCAAGTTTTCGCCTTTTCCGAAGTCTCAGCGTCATCTCTAGCATGGCAATATGCCCACATGCAGACAAAAATCCCGCAATCATCATTCCCTTCCTGTTGTCTGCATCCTTCTACCCATTCGACATCTAAAGGTATCTCCAACGCGGTTTTATTTTCAATCACCCTGCTATAATAACTCGCCTACAAAAATATACTATTATATTAGTATACATGTATTTTCATTACCATATTGCAGCACCGTTCAATCACAATACCCAAACTATGGATTAATAAAACATATACCACATTCACCAATATATAAATTAAAGAAGTAATCATCGATTTAAGGACTTACGATATAATTTGCAATTTCTGGGCTCGTCGGAGAATGGGCTAGGGAGTTCCAATGCCGAAAAACTTTTTCGTTTGGGTCCAATACAAGCAAGAACCAGTGATCTTTGGGATTTATAGGTATCAGAACATATTTTTTGCTGTAGAGACGTGCTATTCCAAGCTTCTCAACTGCGGTAGATCCAAAATATGTTAAGCTCTTTAAAAAGGTATCCAACTCTGTATCACCCATCTTTTTGAAGTCCATTCGATCTCGTGCCAGTATCTCATACTACGAAACATAATAAAAAAAATATAAGATAAACCAGTATACACAAAATGCAACATATTTGTTAAACCAGTTTATACCTGGGCAGGGGTCTCGAGATAATCAATCTAATGCCCATGTTCATCCGTGATCGCTTCGGAATTTTACAGACTCATGTATATGTCGATGTGCTCCCCACTTAGATGCTGATCAAACAAAAGATCGCACATATGCTTTCCAGTCAAAACATTTGGGCCTCTTTCGATCACAATTGCACTACAATAGAAATAAACATGCACTATTTGTTTAGTACGCCGATACTACATAAGAAGTTATTATATACCAAATGTTCAGTAAGTTAGTAATTTTACCTCAAATCAACATCAACCAAGTACCCATCCAGTACTGCCCTCTCTACATCAGTAAGTTCATCTCGACATACATAGTCTGTTCTCCCCTGGTACGTAGAATTATCTACGACAACCTATATCCAAAGGAATCATTAGTGATAATAGTAATAATAATAATAATACTTATTATTAAATTATGATCATAATTACTGTTGTGGGCAGTTTAGCAGAGACTACGCTGCGTCCTTGTCCTCGACTCTTTCTTCTTCGATTGTCTTCTCTTGCCTTCGACCTTCTCTCCCGCTCCATGTTCAGTACTTCTATCAAGGTTTCTTCTTCTTCTTCTTCTTCTTCTTCTTCTTCTTCTTCTTCTTCTTCTTCTTCTTCTTCTTCTTCTTCTTCTTCTTCTTCTTCTTCTTCTTCTTCTTCTTCTTCTTCTTGTTCTCCTTCTTTCTCTTTTTTTTTCCTCATCTCCAAGTTCTTCAACAGCATTAAAAAATTTATCTTCCTCCTCCACTTCTTTTTTCCCTTCATCTTGCACTTCTATTTCCTCTTCCTCCTCCCCCTCTTAAAAAATAAGAGCTTTTCTTCTCTTCTTCTTCCCTTCTGTCTCTTCCAATCTCACACTCTTCCTCTTCACTTGTTGTGCATTTCCAAAATGCTGCTGCAGTTCACATAAAATAAACAATGATTAGTGTAATACAACAACATCATGTTGGTTTACAAATGGGACATGTCCATCTCATTAATAGTACTCTTCACTTACACGCTTGACTTCCACTTTTCCACCGACCTCCAAAGCTGCAACAATAGGACCAGATAGTTCTTCCACAGGTGAAACCAAAAAACTTTCTCTCTTCTTTGTGCACGGAGAATGATATCACCTAATAAACATATAGACAAATTGTACATTAGTTTATTACGTAAGCAAATAACACAATGAAAATGCATAAATCAAAATTGTTACCTTGTCTGGTGTGAGTTCTCTAAAAAGATGTTTAGCCTGACGTTCATCGGCTGGTATTTTGGAGTCGTGCCATCGAAAAAATCTTGGGTATTCGAAAACGCTTATTGCGAACCCCAAAGAAGTGATCCTTTCACTCACCCATGCCAACAATCCAATGGTGCAACCATCAAAATACCCTCCTGGCCCAGCCAAGTGTGCCTCAATATTTTCAATGAGCACATCATACACCAACTTTCCCCACGCAAAATCTCCTACGCGCTCCAATTTGTCAACATGTGGATAAGCGTACCTCGGCAGTTGAAAGTTGCCCTTTGGCAATAAGAAAGTATTGCAAGCGAAAATAATGTACAACCTAAAAAAATCCTCAATTGATTGTTGGTCGGTCCTAACAGCATACTCTTCCAATTTTTCAGCAATTTGATGACGCTTTACTTGGGTCAATTTACCCCCAAAAACACGTCTAATGAAAGGAGTTTCTATTTCCAGGTTTTTATCGATGGGTACCCCCTTAAACTGTAATCCCATCATGATGCTGAACTCCCTAGGATCAAAGACGACAGGGATAGTTTTACCTCCAAACCAGAACGTACGTTCCTCCACGTTGTATATCTTCTTCAACATAACAGACACCTTTAAGAAACTATGGTATATCTTAGGCATGTTTAAGAAATGCCCGAAAGGATTTTCCTCCAATGCAGCAAAGTGTCTGGCCGTCATCATAGGTTTAATTATGTCCATTTGTTCTTTGAAGGCGCTAGGAGAGCACCTGCAAGCTTGTTGAGCGTCATCATCTGCAAGTGTATTACGATTATAAAGGAAAAACAATAATCAGAAAAAATACAATTGTAAGATAACAATGGTACTATGTAGGTATTGTAATTATACCTTCACTATATTGTATCAATACCATACACCTACAATACCTATACTATTAGGCAATACGACATATACTATTTAATTA